GGCCACCCACCCCCTCGTGTACCGTTCCGGCCTTCATAGGTGCTCGCTAACAGCACTTGCCCCTACAGTCTGTTGAGGCTATACGGGGGATCTTTGGATCTTTGTATCTTTGTATCTTTGTGTGAGTGTGTGAGTATGTGAGTGTGTGTAAGTTTGTGAGTGTGTGTGTATCAGGGCCGGCGCTAGGCGAGTACTGGTATGGGCCCTGTCGCCCCACACGTCCCTTTTGGCTACCCAGGTTCACGCCCCTGAGTGGTACAGCTCTGTGATGATGGCCCCCCCTCGCCCTCATCCGGGAAGAGCTGGAGCCAGGACCGCGATGCATGCGTCTCTCTGTGCCTGTGTGTATGCGGCTGTGGGTACCTGTGTCTGTGTGTGCGGCTGTGGGTACCTGTGTCTGTGTGTGTGCGGCTGTGGGCACGTGTGTCTGTGTGTGCGGCTGTGGGCACGTGTGTCTGTGTGAGGGCGGCTGTGGGTATCTGTGTCTGTGTGTGTGCGGCTGTGGGTACCTGTGTCTGTGTGTGTGCGGCTGTGGGCACGTGTGTCTGTGTGTGTGCGGCTGTGGGCACGTGTGTCTGTGTGTGTGCGGCTGTGGGTACCTGTGTCTGTGTGTGTGCGGCTGTGGGCACGTGTGTCTGTGTGTGTGCGGCTGTGGGCACGTGTGTCTGTGTGTGTGTGTGAGTTTGTGGGCAGCGGTAGTGGAGTGGTTCAATTCCCCTTCACGGCCAACACCGGTCACAATTAATTAATTGAACCGGTCCTGGGCCATTCCCTAGGTCGACTCAACCTCAAATGAGTAGCTGGTGCAGTGTGTAAACATCGCCACTGGGGAGACAAAGGCGGCCGGGCGTGGTGTTGACCACCCACCCCCCCCCCCGTGTGCCATTCCGGCCTTCATAGGTGCTCGCTAACAGCGCTTGCCCCAACAGTCTGTTAAGGCTATACGGGGGATCTTTGTCTTTGTGTGTAGGTGTAGCGAACCGGCGGTTGTTGTTGTATCGGGCCGAATATGTAAATGCTGTGTGTGTATGTAACTCTATGTGTGTGTGTAACTGTGTGTGTGTATGTAACTGTGGGGAGCGATAGTGTAGCGGTTAGCGCGCTGCGCTATGAACATTACCGTATATATGTGAATGTCCATGCACGTGTGTGTTTGTATCATGGGGAGCGGTGGTGTAGCGGTTAGCGCTACGCTGCGCTACGAACCCAGCCACCCGAGTTCGATTCCCGCTCACGGCCACCACCGGTGACGATGATGAAAACCCGGTCCTGGGCCTCCTCCCCTAGGTCAACTCAGCCTCAAATGAGTACCTGGTGCGGTGTGTAAACACTTGCCCCAACAGTCTGTTAAAGCCTTGCGGTGGTGGTGGGGGGGTCTTTGTGTATGTATATATGTATGTATATGTGTATGTATATTTGTATGTATATGTGTACGATTGTATGTGCTGTGTTATGTCACCCCACGTGCGCATGCTGCAGCGACTCCACACGCTCCTGCGTCATCCTCCCCCGGTCTATTCCGCGGCGTGCCACTTTTGTGTTGCCTTTGGCTTCATTTTGTGTTCACCTTGTGGTCGTTTTGTGCTCGCTTTGTGTGGACCGAAATTCAATTAAATTATTGAGTCATTATCAGCCGGCGCGGCAATAGGGTGGAGGAGAGGGAGAGAAATTTAACACAAAATACAACTCGCCAATTTGTCTCCAAGTTCCATGCCACACAACATATATATAGAGAAAGATCCCCCGTGTAGCCTTTAACAGACTGTTAGGGCAAGTGCTGTTAGCGAGCAGCTATGAAGGCCGGCACGGCACACGACGGGCTGGGTGGCCAGACACATCCATACTGAGACACGTAGACACACCATGCACACTGCCACACACAAGGAGACACACACATTGATCAAACACTCCGCTCGTTGTGTTCAGTTTGTTGTCCTTCCTCAGCACCTCCGATTAGCGCGGTTGGCTGCGTACGGTGCGAAAGAAGTCCAACAACATACACACACACTCTCATACACAGAGAAACACACGTACACATGGAGACAAAGATTCCCCGAATAGCCTTGACAGACTTTTGGGGCAAGTGCTGTTTGCGAGCACACATACACAAAGAGACGCATACATACTGACGTACATAAACACATACACAATGACACACACACACGGAGATATACACATACATACACAATGACATATATAGACACACTGACATACACATAGCGACACAACACAAACAAGACAAAGATCCCCCATATAGCCTGTGTAAGGAAGCTCCTATCAAGGCCCGCATGAACACGAGGGAGTGGGTAGCCACCACCATGCCCGGCCGCCTTTGTCTCCCCAGTGGTGATGTTTAACGCACCTTACCAAATACTGTACTCGTTTAAGAATAAGTAGTCCTATGAACTTACACACACATATACACAAAGACAAAGATGCCTCGTAAAGCCTTAACAGATTGTAGGGGCAAGTGCTGTTAGCGAGCCCCTATGAAGGCCGGCACGGCACACGAGGGGGTGGGTGGCCGGCACCACGCCCGACCGCCTTTGTCTCCCTAGTGGCGACGTTTACTCTACACCGCACCAGGTGCTCATTTGAGGCTGAGTCTACCTAGGGGAGGTCCAGGAATGGTTCAAATAATCATCACTGGCGGTGTTGACCGTGAGCGAGAATCGAACTCGGGTCGCCGGGTTCATAGCGCAGGGCGCTACCGACGACACTACCGCTCCCCACACAAACATATATACACACATGCAGCAGATACAGCGAGACGGATATGCGTACACACTGAAATAGATACAAATCCTGCCTAGACAAATACATAGGTACACACATGCGTGCGCACAGTGAGACATACAAAGACATACAGACAGACGTACAGACACAGGGGGACACGCAGAGGCGCGTACAGACACATGAGTCATACATGGAGACATTTAGCACACCTACTTACGCAAATAGTGAGCTGCAGACACACATATAGATATACAGACACCCGCAAAGAAACGCAGACACACGCGGACACACACAAAATACAAAGATCCCCCATATAGCCTTAACAGACTGTTCGGACAAGTGCTGTTAGCGAGCACCTATGAAGGCCCGCACGGCACACGAGGAGGTGGATGGCCAGCACCACGCCCGGCCGCCTTTGCCTGCCTCGTGGCAATGTGTTTGCACATCGCACTAGGTACTTATTTGAGGCTGAGTCGACCTAGAGGAGCCCCAGAACCGGTTCAGATAATAGCCACTGTTGTTGGCCGCGAGCAGGAATTGAACTCGGCTCGCCGGGTTTGTAGCGCAGCGCGCTAACCACTACACTACCGCTCCCCACAGTAGCACTTACACAGACACACAGAGAGACACACACAGACACACACACAGACACACACACAGACACACACAGACACACATCAACTAATAGTCGTCGTCTCGCTAGGGAGGTGAAGTCGCTGTCTTGGTTCGTGAAGACTTCGCCGCAAAATTGTGTAAGAAACACCAACTATGATGTGTTAGCCGGGTGTTTTTGGCTCAGCGAGAAGGACAAATACACGTAGTCGGAGTATCGTTTAAAAGAAGCCAGGAAGGACGCACACAGGATCTAGCCACAGCAGTTAACCAACCACAGCAGTGATGCAGCCAACAGCAGTGAGTCAGCCCCATCAGCTGTCATTCAGCACAGCAGTCATCATCGTCATAATCGATGTTAAACGATGCATCCCCCGGGAAGGAGTTGATAACGGGAGGCGCCAGAGGTTGTGCTGATGCCTGGCTTGGTGTGAAAGCACCCTCTGTCCGAGTGAGTGAGTGATTGAGTGGGTGAGTGTCTGTCTGAGTGAGTGTGTGATTGAGTGGGTGAGTGTCTGAGTGAGTGTGTGATTGAGTGGGTGAGTGTCTGAGTGAGTGTGTCATTGAGTGGGTGAGTGTCTGAGTGAGTGTGTGATTGAGTGGCTGAGTGTCTGTCCGAGTGAGTTATTGAGTGGGTGAGTGTCTGAGTGAGTGTGAGTGTGTGATTGAGTGGGTTAGTGTCTGTCCGAGTGAGTGAGTGATTGAGTGGGTGAGTGTCTGAGTGAGTGTGTGGTTGAGTGGGTGAGTGTCTGAGTGAGTGTGTGAATGAGTGTGTTAGTGTGCAAGTCTGTGTGTAGCGTGTATGTGTGAGTGAGTGTGTAAGTGTGTCAGTGTGCAGTGTGTATTCGTCTTTGTGTAAGTGTGTGCAGTGTGGACACATGTGCATAATTGTGTACATATACACACGTGGGTATTTATGCAAATAATGTGGTGTAAAAGTGTGTTTCGTAACTTGTAAATATATGTGTATATGTAACGTGTGTGTTGTGAATTGTTCATATATTGGGTGTGCGATGTGTGTATATGTACGCTTACGCAAACACACTCACCCATTCACACAAACGCATAAGTGAACACCCATCCATAGACAAAGATCCCCCGTATAGCCTTTAACAGACTGTTGGGGTAACCTCTGAAGGCCGACACGGCACACGAAGGGGTGGGTGGCCAACGCTACCCCTGGCCGCCTTTGTCTCCCCAGTGATCACGTTTTATAAAACGCACCCGGTACTAGGGGAGGCCCAGAACCAGCTGATAATTCGTCACTGTTATTGTTGGTGAGCCGGAATCCAACCAAGGTCGCCGGGTTCGTAGCGCAGGGAGCTAACATCCGCGCCACCGCTCCCCACACGCACACACACGCGCGCACACACGCAGACACACACACGGACACACACGGACACGCATTCACACAAACACGTCCGCGCATACATAAACAACCATTTATCCACACACACACACCCATCCAGACACCCATCCAGACACCGATTCATACACGCACGCGCACACGAATACATCCACACCTCCATCCATCTACACACACGCACGTGGACGAGCACACACGCACATGCTTGAACACACACACAGACGCACAAACACACACGCGCATATACAATCACACACGCGCGCACACACACGACGACACCCAGACACACGGACACACACGCGCGCACACACGCAGACACACACACGGACACACACGCAGACACACACACGGACACGCGCGCGCGGCTAAAGTTGCTGCTGATACCCGGGCCGCTGCGCGGGGAGTCGCGCGTCGCCGGGACGAGAAGGAGCGACACGGGGAGAAGCAGCAGCGGCAGCAGCAGCAGTCGTCACCTTGGCGAGCCGAACCGATCGCTCGCTCTCTCTCTCTCCCCCTCTCTCTAGCGCGCTCTCTCTCTCCCTCTTTCTCGCCTCCCTCTCTCGCTCGCCTCTCCAGCAAACAAGCGAGTAAATAATAAATAAATAACGTCGCGGGCCAGGTGGATCAAGAGGCGCCCACCGCCTCCTCCACACTCCCGCGTCCACCTCCCCGCGGACAGGAGCGGCGGCGCTCAGCCACCGACCGCCTCCTCGGCGGCCTCCCCCGCGGAGCGTTCAGCGCCGCGCGCAGAGATGGGCGGCTCCGGGCCAATTACCGAGACGCGGGACCAATCGCGAATTCATAAATAATCGGCGCGCGGGCCCCGCGGGGAGACGCGGCGACGACGACGAACGGGAGGAGGAGGAGGAGTAGGGAGAGGAGTAGGGAGAGGAGGAGGGAGAGGAGGAGGGAGAGGAGGCGTCCCGGATCAGCTGAGTTTCGCGATCTCTCGTGGTGAGCGCCGTTCGGCCGCTGCCGCCCGCCTCCTTTTGGAACGTCAAAGTTCAGAATCCTCACCGGGGGACTCGGACGAGGCGCCTCGTGGCCCCGACACGGAACAATTCCGTCGTTCGACTTTATTTCTTTATTTAGAAGTTAAGAAATTAATAGAAATAAAACGGGATTTTTATTTGTTGGGGGGGGGGGGGGGTGGTGGTCGGTCGGTGGAGCACGTGGCGTCGCGAGTGGGCTCTCCGGGACCAAGGAGGTGAGGCTCACGGCGCAGAAGGAGCAGGAGGGAGAGGCGGAACGCGAAGGAGTAACGGGAGAAGAATCGTGAGAGGAGGAGGTGGGAGAGCAGCAGCAGCAGCAGCCAGAGGAGGTAGAGACGAAGAGCGAGAGAAGGAAGAGGAGGGTGTGAGCAGGAGCAAAAGGAGGGGGAGGAGGAGGTGGAGAAGGAGGAATTGTAGGGACAGGCAGCGGAGGAGGAGGAGGACGAGGAGGAGGAGCAGCAGTCTCGGCGCGGCGCGGCGGAATGAGCTCGCACCGCGAGGACGCGCTGCCGCTCGCCTGCGAGGCCACGCTGCCCGCCGCGGTGCCGGGGAAGCTGCCGCCCCCGCTGCAGGCGTTGCCACTGCTTCAGGCCGGGGCCCGCGACGGGCTGCCCCTGCTGCCCGCCGAGCCCGAGCCCACGGCCTGCAGCGGGGGCAGCCCGGGGCGCTCCCCGCCGCCGGCCGCGGCCCGGCCGGACGCGCAACTCGCCGCGAACGCGCACCGCACCACCTCCTTCTCCGTGCTCGACATCCTGGACCCCAACAAATTCACGGGCCGCGTCCGCGCCCTGCAGCAGCAGCAGCAGATGCAGCAGCAGCAGCAGCAGGCGTCCCTGCTGGAGCCCCTGCTGCAGGGAGAGCCCGAGGCGCGGAGCCCACGCAGCGCAGAGCGAGACGCGGGCGCGGACGGCGCCGCCGATTCGGGGAGTGCGCAGCTCCGCGAGAGATCCGGGCCGGCAGAGACAGGTACCAGGCTCGCCGCGCTCGCGCTGGTGGCGGGGGCAGTGGTGGTGGTGGTGGTGACATTCCGATAGTGGTGCTGGTGGTCATATTGCTGGTGCTGATGTTCGTTGTAGTGGGGGGCTTTGGAAATAGTGAATTTGGAGATTGTTTACATGGCGTAAGTGGCAGAGGTGGTCACGGTGTGAACATTGGTGAACGTGGTTGGTCACATAAGATGTGGTGGTGGTAGTGGTGGTGGTGGTAAAGATGTCATTCACCGCAGCGGGGATGGAACAAGAGTGTACCGAGTGATGGTGTTCGTGGTGGAGGTGATGGCACAGATGCGTACGGTGGTGAACGTGGTTCATGTTGTAACCCACTTCGTTGAGCTGTCACCTGTGACGAGGTCGCTTCTGAAAAAGAGCTACTCAGCTCAGTGGGCCTTACCTGGTAACATAAATGAAATATCGTTTCGCTTTTAGTTTAGTTTGGTGCTGGTGGCGGTAGGGATGGACGTAGTCGGTGATATATTTGTGTGTGGCAGTGAAGACTCTGCTGAGTAGTGGTACTCGTGACAGGGGAGGTGGTGTTGGTGGTAGCGGTGGTGGTGGTGGTGGTGCCACTGCAGGTGGTGGTGTTGGTGGTAGCGGTGGTGGTGGTAGTGGTGGTAGAGGTGGTAGAGGTGGTGGTGGTAGTGGTGAAGAGGTGGTGGTAGTGGTAGTGGTGGTAGAGGTGGTGGTGGTAGAGGTGGTGGTGGTAGTGGTAGTGGTGGTAGAGGTGGTGGTGGTGGTGGCACTTCAGGTGGTGGTAGAGGTGGTGGGGTCGATCGTCGCATAGAGGCAGTGAGGATTTTGCGCGAACTTCAACGTGGACATCACGCACGTCATTTCACTACACAGGTGTGATTCCAAAGAATCGACGACGACGACGACGATGATATCTGCCCAAGAGTCATCGCACTCATCACGCCATGAAACCGTTCGTGTGGCCCCAGTCTGGGCCCGGCGCGCTCCGCGCGGCCCCCCTGGCGACTCCACGGGGCCGAGCGAGAGACGACGCCGAGACGTGGACAGAGCCCGAGACAGAGAAGACGCAGAAGAGACAGAGAGAGAGAGAGAGACATATGAACAGGGGCTCAGAGGGAGACGTAGAGGTCAACGATAAACATCGGATGATCTAGAGACGGAGACGCTACAGGGGAAGACGGAAGAGACACAGACACAGACGGCGAGACAAATCATTAATCAGGCATCAAAACAAAAACGTTACAGAGAGAACAACGAGAGACGGGCCTAGACATCGCTAGAGAAAGAGAGACATGCAGAGGGAACAGAGGAAGAGACAGCGAATCAAAAAGAGGGACAAAACACAGAGAGACTCACACACGTTAAGACTCGTGCACAGCGATACTCGTGCACAGAGAGACCCACACATATACACTCATACACAGAGACTCATATCCAGGCAGGCACAGAGATTCATATAAGACTCACATGCAGAGAGACACAGAGACTCACATGCAGAGAGACACAGATACTCATATACAGAGACTCGCGCACAGAGGCTCGCATAGAGACTCACACAGAGACTCGTACACAGAGAGACATAGAGACGCATTCAGAGAGACTCATACACAGAGAGACACAGAGACACACAGAGACTCACAGAGACACACAGAGACTCACAGAGACACACAGAGACTCACAGAGAGACACAGAGGAAGGCGGAGACAGAGACAGAGCGACAGAGAGACGACATCCATAAGTCTCGGGCGCCGGGGAGACGTCCCGCCCGCCCGCCCGCCCGGAACTCCGTGGCCTCGAGTCCAAGAGTTCCTGAGCCACGGTTCAATTCCAGATTCATTTGTGGTGCAGGAAAGGTCTGGGGGGGGGCGAGCTCTCCACTCCGCGAGGCCTCGACAGCAGCAGCAGCGGGGGACTGCCCGGGGAGCCTCATTACTCGCCGTGACACATCCAATTTTCTCCTTATCTCCCCGTTATTCAAAGCGAATCGGACTAATTGTACTAAAGTGGGGGGTTATCTCGCAAAAATTAACAGCCTCTCCGGTGCGTTTAGAGCAGCGGCGGCGGCGGCGGCGGCTCGGAGCCGTGGCGGTGACACCGCCTCGGAGTGGCAGGCGCAGATTCTCGGATCGATATCCCATTATCGACTTCCCCGTATCTCCTTCCTGCAGCTTGCAAACACTCCTCCAACGTCTAAATTATAAGATCAGGAATCAGATAATTGCCCGATTAAAACTTATTAGAGTTATTAGCGGGGGTATTGATCTGGGCTACCTTTCGACCCGCGCTCCTAATCACGCCTCTCTCGCGGCCACTGTAAATTAAAAAGGGACTTTAATGAGAAATGAAGGTTAATCCATCTAAACAAACATCAGCAGAAAAGCGCCGCGCTCCGCTAATGGACCCCCCCCCCGGCCCCCCACAACGCTCTCCCCACTCGCGATAACCGAGCTGGGAGACGCTGCCCCCCCCCCTCACAGGGAATTGTAATTGGGGAGGGGGGGGCAATTAAATGACGATCAGATGGGGAGGTTTTTTTTTTTGTGTGTCCGGGTGTTTGAGTGCCATTACGCGGGCGAGAATGAGGGGATATGTGAGCGTGTGAGTGGATGAGCGTGTGAGAGAGTGAATGAGTGTGAGAGAGTGAATGAGTGTGTGAGAGAGTGAATGAGTGTGAGAGTGAATGAGTGTGTGAGAGAGTGAATGAGTGTGTGAGAAAGTGAATGAGCGTGAGTGGATGAGCGTGAGAGTCAAGTGAATGAGTGAGTGAGAGAGTGAATGAGTGTGAGAGTGAATGAGTGAGTGAGAGAGTGAATGAGTGAGTGAGAGAGTGAATGAGTGTGTGAGAGAGTGAATGAGTGTGTGAGAGAGTGATAGTGCGTGTGAGAGGGCGAGTGGGCCTGGACCTCCCCTAAGTCGACTCAGCCTTAACAATGAGTACCTGGAGCGGTGTGTAAACATCGCCCTGGGGAGACAAAGGTGGCCGGGCGTGGTGCTGGCCACCCACCCCTTCGTGTGCCGTGTCGGCCTTCATAGGCGCTCTCCAACTGCACTTGCCTCAACAGTCTGTTCAAGGCTTTTCTGGGGGTCTTTGTCTTTGTGTGTGAACTCATGAGTGTCTGTGAGCGTTTGGATGTTAGTGATTGTTAATTGGCCTTGTGATGGAGTCGGCGCAAGATTCCTCTCTTGCCAAGCTCTGCTGTCCTATATATATCGAGGCGTTATCGGCCATTTAACGAGAGATGTTTTTTGTTATATATATGGGAGATAAACCGCAGCGACCGGAGAAAACCCGCGCATGCATGCGAGGGTGCAACGCTCTATCCCGTACAAACAGAGCAGGTGGAATTCATAAACTCCTGGCGAGACCGAGAACGACTCCTCCTCGACGCCCGCGGCAAGCGAGTCGTCTCCCCCATCTTTATGTGACCCACCAACCCTCGCCTCCAAAATGTCACCACCACCACCCGAGTGTGCGTGATGTTCGGTGTGAGTTTGAGTGTAGGTGCATGTCCACCGAGTGTATTCATGTGCGAGTGTGTGAGTGGTGTTGAGCGGTGGTACAGCGGTTAGCGCGGGCCTCCTCTAGGTCGACTCGGCCTTAGATGAGTTCCTGGTGGTGCCGTGTGTACAAAACATCACTGGGAGACAAAGGCGGCCGTGCGTGGTGTTACCAACACCACCCCAATGCACAGTGCCATCCAGCATTAATAGGTGCTCGCTAACAGCACTTGCCCCAACAGCCTGTTATAAACTATACGGGGGATCTTTGTGTTTGGGTGAATGTTTGTGTGTGCATGTGCGTGTATGTGAACATCAGTGTGTATGTATGTGTGTGTATGTGTGTGTATGTGTGTGTATGTGTGTGTCGCAAGCGGGACAGCGCTTTCACCAACAGTCTGTTCAGACTGTAGAGGGGATCTTTGTCGGTAGTGAGCGCACTGCGCTACGAGTCCGTCCTAGAGCCTCTCCATAAACGAGTCCCTGGTGCGATGTGTATAAAACATCGGCAATGGAGAGATAAAGGAGGCCGGGCGTGGTGCTGGCCACCCACCCCCTCGTGCGCCGTGTCAGCACTTGTTTGTTAAGGCTGCAACGGGGGATCTTTGTCTTTGGTGAGAATTGCGATCTCTAAGTGCAGAGCGGAGACGTCGCGGTTTAGAGCCGCGGGCGACTGGCCCAGAGTTGAGACGCGAATCCTTTACACAAAGATCCCCCGTGTAGCATTTACAGACTGTTGGGGCAAGTGCAGTGAGCGGACACCTATGAAGGCCGGAACGGCACACGAGGGGAAAGGGTGGCCAGCACCACGCCCGGCCGCCTTTGTCTCCCCAGTGCTGTTTCCACGCCGCATCAGATACTCATTTGAGGCTGAGTCGACTTAGGGGAGGCCCACGACCGGCTCAAATAATGGTCACTGGTCTTGGCCGTGAGCAGAACTAGAACTCTGGTCGCCGGATTCGTATCGCGCAGCTCACCGCGACACATCAGACACACACCAAGCACTCACGGAGATGCACACAGACGCGCACACAAGGATTGTGATTACGCACCATTATTTATTTTTCAGTTTCGTCACCTCCGACATCAATGACCTTAGAGCAATAGCAGTTGACCTCAGGGGCTCACGTTCGAGCTGACACGCAGAGTGACACATTAACTAACAGGTATTGTGACACACGGACTAACACGCAGAGTGGCACAGACTGACACGCAGGGTGGCACACGGACTAAAACGCAGGGTGGCACACGGGCTGACACGCAGGGTGGCACACGGACACGGGCTATGGCATCGATTCTCCGCGCGGTGCCCAGACCCCAATGTCCAACGCCTCGCGCCAAAACCTATCGACGCCTCTGTTCCAATAATGAACACACACACCACCAGCACAACCCCGTGTCTACACACACACACACACCACCAGCACAACCCCGTGTCTACACACACACCACCAGCACAACACCATGTCTACACACACACACCACCAGGACAACCCCGTGTCTACACACACACACCACCAGCACAACCCCGTGTCTACACACACACACACACCACCAGCACAACCCCGTGTCTATACACACACACACACACCACCAGCACAACCCCGTGTCTACACACACACACCACCAGCACAACCCCGTGTCTACACACACACCACCAGCACAACACCGTGTCTACACACACACACCACCAGCACAACCCCATGTCTAAACACACACCACCAGGACAACCCCGTGTCTAAACACACACACACCACCAGCACAACACCGTGTCTACACACACACCACCAGCACAACACCATGTCTACACACACACACCCATGTCTACACACACACCCGTGTCTACACACACGCACACGCACGTGTCTACACGCACACGCACGTGTCTACACGCACACGCACGTGTCTACACGCACACGCACGTGTCTACACGCACACGCACGTGTCTACACGCACACGCACGTGTCTACACACACACGCACGTGTCTACACACACACGCACGCACGTGTCTACACACACACGCACGTGTCTACACACACACGCACGTGTCTACACACACACGCACGTGTCTACACACACACGCACGTGTCTACACACACACACCCACGTGTCTACACACACACACCCACGTGTCTACACACACACACACACACACGTGTCTACACACACACACACACGTGTCTACACACACACACACGTGTCTACACACACATGTCTACACACCCGTGTCTACACACACCGTGTCTACACACACCGTGTCTACACACACACATGTCTACACACACACACACACGTCTCTACACACACACACACGTGTCTACACACACACACACGTGTCTACACACACACCGTGTCTACACACACACACCGTGTCTACACACACACACCGTGTCTACACACACACCGTGTCTACACACACACATGTCTACATACACACACGTCTCTACACACACACCGTGTCTACACACACACACACACACGTGTCTACACACACACATGTCTACACACACACACATGTCTACACACACACACACACATGTCTACACACACACACATGTCTACACACACACACACACATGTCTACACACACACACACACGTCTCTACACACACACCGTGTCTACACACACACACACCGTGTCTACACACACACCGTGTCTACACACACACACACCGTGTCTACACACACACCGTGTCTACACACACACATGTCTACATACACACACACACGTCTCTACACACACACACCGTGTCTACACACACACACACGTCTCTACACACACACACCGTGTCTACACACACACACCGTGTCTACACACACACACCGTGTCTACACACACACACACGTCTCTACACACACACACGTCTACACACACACACGTGTCTACACACACACACACGTGTCTACACACACACACACACGTGTATACACACACACACACACACGTGTCTACACACACACACGTGTCTACACACACACACATGTCTACACACACACACGTCTCTACACACACACACCGTGTCTTCACACACACACCGTGTCTACACACACACACCGTGTCTACACACACACACCGTGTCTACACACACACACACCGTGTCTACACACACACACACCGTGTCTACACACACACACACCGTGTCTACACACACACACACCGTGTCTACACACACACACACCGTGTCTACACACACACACCGTGTCTACACACACACACCGTGTCTACACACACACACCGTGTATACACACACATGTCTACATACACACACATGTCTACATACACACACATGTCTACATACACACACATGTCTACATACACACACATGTCTACATACACACACATGTCTACATACACACACATGTCTACATACACACACATGTCTACATACACACACGTGTCTACACACACACACGTGTCTACACACACACACACGTGTCTACACACACACACACGTGTCTACACACACACACACGTGTCTACACACACACACACGTGTCTACACACACACACACACGTGTCTACACACACACACGTGTCTACACACACACACGTGTCTATACACACACACACACGTGTCTACACACACACACACACGTGTCTACACACACACACACACGTGTCTACACACACACACGTGTCTACACACACACACCGTGTCTACACACACACACGCGCGCCCTGTGGTGTTCACCCGCAGCACCGAGGTGCGCTTCAAGACGACGACGGCACCGGGGCCACTCGCGGAGCTCTTTTTGTCGTCACCGAGTGACACCGCTCCGCGCTCACGAGAGTCGCTGCCCTTCTTTGCCCCCCCCCGCTCCTCCGTTGGGCCCCCGTGCCCGCGCTTCTCAGGGTTTCAGCTCCACGACGACTCGGAGCCCGAGGGACGCGGGCTCTGCGCGGGGACCGGCCGGGACTGCGCTCCCGAGGAGGATCGCGGCGCCGAGGCAGCGGTGGCGGCGCGGGACAAATCGTGCGGCAGAGACGGCGCCGGGGCGGACGGGGATGATCGAGGCGGCGGAGGCGGCGGAGGCGGCGGTGGCGGCGGCGACGGCGGCTCCGAGGATGGAGGAGGCGGCGGCGGCGGTGGGATCAAGGGGAGTGGGGACGGCACCGGGGGCGGCGCGCAGAAGCAGAAGCGCAAACGGTGCTCGTCCGAAGCCAAGTCGGGGAAGCCGCGCAGGGCGCGCACGGCGTTCACCTACGAGCAGCTGGTGGCGCTGGAGAATAAGTTCAAGTCGACGCGATACCTCTCCGTGTGCGAGCGCCTCAACCTGGCGCTGTCGCTCAGCCTCACGGAGACGCAGGTGAAGATCTGGTTCCAGAACCGGCGAACCAAGTGGAAGAAACAGAACCCCGGAGCCGACACGAGCTGCCCCGCGGGAGGGGGGCTCGGATCGGGGTCGATCTCCCCGCCGATGCCGCACCCCCTCTCCATGGGCCCCCCCCACTACTCGGGCCCCGCGGGCCTCGTGTGCGCCGCCGCGCAGCTGCCCTTCATGTCCTCGCACTCGGTGCTGCCCCCGTTCCTTCTCAACTCGCCCGCGTACGGCGGGGCGCACTCCTTCTATCCGCACATGTGAGGGACCCCCCCCCCCCCCACGCCTTCTGTACACCCCGAAGAGACCCCCGAGGAGTCCCCCCGCCCCCCAAAGGAGACTCCCTCATCGCTGCACTCCTCCATTCTTCACGTCCCCCATATCGGGTTCCGGACCCGGGTGGCTCCTCTGACCTCCCACCTTGACCCCCTTACCTTCCACCTTGACCCCCCTTACCTCCCTCCCCCTTCCCTGCCCCCCCCGGCCCCTTTGGACGTGAGGCCCCCTCTACGATTACTTGAACGCGGCGCGGGCGGTGGAGCCGCGCAGACTCAGGGAAGAAGAAGATGAGGAAGAGGAGGAGGAGGTGGTAGAGGAGGTGGCAGAGGAGGAAGAACCGCGGGAGTCGCGCGGAGTCGCGCCGCACGCGGGCACCGCCGCACACATCGAGGGAAGGGCGGAGGAGGAAGTTCAGTCGGCGCTCAGGAGTTTGAGGAGTCCGCGCTTCTTCTCGATGGAGAGCGATGAAGAGGGACGAGGAACGCACGTGGCGTCTGTGAACTCACACACCACACGTGCGCACGCGCTGTGTCCACACACTTGTACATTGTCTATACACCCAGGTGCACATGTACACATGCGCGCTCGCACACACACGTGTACACGAGTGTACGTGCTCTGTGCGTAAACACGTGCAACTTGCTGTCTACATGTGCACACACGCACGCACAGAGTTCACGCCATGTACACACACACGTGTACCCACGAGTACACACTCTGTACATATCACACTCGCGTGCATGACCGCGCCGCCGCCGCGAGGATGAGGAGGAACAGCTTCGTCTCCGTCGCCCGCGAGTTGAATCTTCACCGAGTTCGGGTCCGGAGCGAGGCGCCCTCTCTGCTGTTGCTGCTGTCCGTGTGCGATTCTCTGCTCTCCGTGTACAGATCCGTGAGCGAGCGAGTACGTGAGTGAGTCAGTGCTTGAGTGAGTGCGTGAGTGAGTGAGCGCATGAGGGACTGTGTGAGTGCGTGTGAGTGCGTGATTGAATGACTGTGTGCGTGCGTAAGTGCGTGCGTGTGTGAGTGCGTGAGTGAGTGCATGAGTGAGTGCGTGAATGAGGGACTGTGCGAGTGTGTGAGTGCGTGAGTTTGTGAGCGCGTGAGTTTGTGAGCGAGTGCGTGTGTGACTGTGTGAGTGTGTAAGTGCGTGAGTGTGTGAGTGTGTAAGTGCGTGAGTGTGTGAGTGCGTGTGTAAGTATGTGAGTCTGTGAGTGCGTGTGTAAGTATGTGAGTGAGTCTGTGAGTGCGTGAGTGACTGTGTGACTGAGTGTGTGTGAGTGAGTGTGTGAGTGAGTGTGTAAGTGTGTGAGTGAGTGTGTGAGTGTGTGAGTGAGTGTGTGTATAAGTGTGTGAGTGAGTGTGTGAATGCGTGAGTATAAATAAACGCGTCGCGATGCACGCTGTAAGATAATCACCCCGCATTAAATTTTTAACTCCTTGCGCTCGTCCCTCGTTTGTATTTGACGCGTGGCGGACTCGGGCGCCGATTAACTCCGTGGGGGTTGGCGGGGTGGGGGGAGTGAGGGCAGCGCCCCAGGGCGAGCGGAAACAATCAATTAGCGACGTCACTTAATTGCGCACAAACAGCCGAGGCGCTGTTTCCCCTCGGCGAAGAGCGGAGAGGGAGCGGGGAGCGGGTGGGTGAGGGGTGGGTGAGGGGTGGGTGAGGGTGGATGAGGGGTGGGTGGGGGGGTGGGGGGTGGGGTGGGGAGGTGGGTGAGGGGGTGGGTGGGGAGGTGGGTGAGGGGGTGGGTGAGGGGGTGGGTGAGGGGTGGGTGAGGGGGTGGTGAGGGGGTGGGTGGGGGAGTGGGGGATTGGTGAGGGGGTGTGTGGGGAGCGGGTGGGTGGGGGGATGGGTGAGGGGGTGGGGGGATGGGTGAGGGGTGGGGGGATGGGTGAGGGGGTGGGGGATGGGTGAGGGAGTGGGGGGATGGGTGAGGGGGTGGGGGGATGGGTGAGGGGGTGGAGAGCGGGTGGGTGAGGGGGTGGATGAGCGGGTGGGTGAGGGGTGGGTGAGGGGGTGGATGAGCGGGTGGGGGGATGGGTGAGGGGGTGGGTGAGGGGGTGTGTGGGGAGCGGGTGGGGGGTGCGAACCGGTTCCGCCTTCACCGCCCCCAGCGCCCCCCGCACTGTTTGATTCCTGGCCGCGAGTCGAGGAGTGTTGAAGGTTTGTGCTGGAGGGCCGCTGAAACGAGATGGTGTTTCTCGTAGTCCCATTGCCACCTCGAGAATCTTCTGCGTGGAGACCTGGGGTGGAATTTGTGCAGGTGATAGTGGTGATGATCATGGTTGTAATGGTGATGTTGGTGGTTGTGGTGATGATGGTAATATTGACGATGATGATGGTAATATTGACGATGATGATGGTAATATTGACGATGATGATGGTGCTGATAGTGATCATGATCATTTTAATGATTACAATGATGGTGGTGGTGATGAGTGACGATATTGGTGATGATGATACTGTTGTGGTGCTTGTGTATACTGTATGTGTATACTGTATGTGTATACTGTATGTGTATACTGTATGTGTATACTGTATGTGTATACTGTATGTAAAAAACTGCAAGCAGCGACTGCGATTTTGCATCGGCGTTTCGGCAAAATGAATTGATCAGATCGATCAGAATCGATTTTGGTAATCAGAGCATCGCACGCACAGAGGACGAAGCTACCCGAGACCCCCTCGTTTAGACCCCTTCACTCGGGGGTCCTGGGTCCCCTTCGTATTTCGCGGGGGTGAATGTGGGATACGCTCCACGTACATCGCTGGCGCCCATCGTCTAACGCTCGTAGCGTGTACATATATACTTACATACTTACTAAGATTGCCCGTGTAGCCTGTAACTTACGCGCAGGGCAAGGCGGAGCCGACCTAGGAGAAACCCGGGATGGGTTCAGACCTTTTTGGCAGTGAGAGTGTCGTGCAGCGCGCGTGCCACGACCACCGCTCCCCACACACACACAAAGATCCCCCGTATAGCCTTTAACAAACTATTAGGGGAAGTGATGTTAGCGAGCACCTATGAAGATCGGCACGGCACACGAGGGGGTGGTGTGGTCGGCACCACTCTCGGCCGCCTTTGTCTCCCTTGTGGCGATGTTTACTACACACCGCACCAGGTACTCATTTGAGACTGAGTCAGCCTCCAGAAGCCCAGGACCGGTTCAGATCATCGTCGCTGGTGTTGGCCGTGAGCAGGACTCAAACTCGGGTCGCCAGGTTCGAAGCGCATCGCACTGTCCGCTCCGCTACTGCTCCCCACAGACACACAGACACACAGACACACATACACACATACTCACAGACACACATACTCACAGACACACAGACTCACAGACACACAGACTCACAGACACACATACTCACAGACACACATACACACATACACACATACTCACAGACACACATACTCACAGACACACAGACTCACAGACACACAGACTCACAGACACACATACTCACAGACACACATACTCACATACACACAGACACACATGCACACATACACACAGACACACATACTCACAGACACACATACTCACAGACACACAGACACACAGACACACAGACACACATACACACATACACACAGACACACAGACACACAGACACACAGACACACATACACACAGACACACATACACACAGACACACAGACACACATACTCACAGACACATTCTCACAGACACACATACTCACAGACACACATACACACATACACACATACTCACAGACACACATACTCACAGACACACAGACTCACAGACACACAGACTCACAGACACACATACTCACAGACACACATACTCACATACACACAGACACACATACACACATACACACAGACACACAGACACACAGACACACATACTCACAGACACACATACTCACAGACACACATACTCACAGACACACAGACACACAGACACACATACACACAGACACACAGACACACAGACACACAGACACATATACTCACAGACACACATACTCACAGACACACATACTCACAGACACACATACTCACAGACACACATACATACTCACAGACACACATACTCACAGACACACATACACACAGACACACATACTCACAGACACACATACTCACAGACACACAGACACACAGACACACATACACACATACACACAGACACACATACACACAGAAACACCGACACACAGACACACCGACACACAGACACACATACTCACAGACACACATTCTCACAGACACACATTCTCACAGACACACATACTCACAGACACACATACTCACAGACACACATACACATACTCACAGACACACATACACACAGACACACATACTCACAGAAACACATACTCACAGACACACATACTCACAGACACACAGACACACATACACACATACACACAGACACACATACACACATACTCACAGACACACATACTCACAGACACACATACTCACAGACACACATACTCACAGACACACATACTCACAGACACACATACTCACAGACACACATACTCACAGACACACATACTCACAGACACACATACTCACAGACACACATAGACACATACACACATACTCACAGACACACATACTCACAGACACACATACTCACAGACACACATACTCACAGACACACACATACACACAGACACACATACTCACATACATACACACATACTCACAGACACACATACACACAGACACACAGACACATACTCACAGACACAGATACTCACAGACACAGATACTCACAGACACACATACTCACAGACACACATACTCACAGACACACATACTCACATACACAAATACTCACAGACACACATACTCACAGACACACTGACACACATACTCATGCATACACACAGACACATGCATACACACAGACACATGCATACACACAGACCCACATACATACACACAGACACACATACATACACACAGACACACATACTCATGCATACACACAGACACATGCATACACACATACACATAGACACACATACTCATGCATAGACATACATACACACATACTCATGCATACACACAGACACACATACACACATACTCATGCATAGACACACATACACACATACTCATGCATACACACATACTCATGCATACACACAGACACATGCATACACACATACTCACATACATACGCATGCATACATACACACATACTCATGCATAGACATACATACTCATGCATAGACATACACACATACACACATACTCATGCATACACACAGACACACATACACACATATTCATGCATAGACACACATACTCATGCATACACATATACTAATGCATACACACATACTCATGCATACACACATACTCATGCATAGACACACATACTCATGCATACACATACTAATGCATACACACATACTCATGCACACACACATACTCATGCATAGACACACATACTCACATACACATGCAGACACACATACACACATACACATGCAGGCACACATACACACAGACCCACATACATACACACAGACACACATACTCATGCATACACACAGACACATGCATACACACAGACACACATACACATAGACACACATACTCATGCATAGACATACATACTCATGCATACACACAGACACACATACACACATACTCATGCATAGACACACATACACATACTCATGCATACACACATACTCATGCATACACACAGACACATGCATACACACAGACACACATACACACATACTCACATACATACGCATGCATACATACACACATACTCATGCATAGACATACATACTCATGCATAGACATACACACATACACACATACTCATGCATACACACAGATACACATACACACATATTCATGCATAGACACACATACTCATGCATACACATATACTAATGCATACACACATACTCATGCATACACATACTCATGCATAGATACACATACTCATGCATACACATACTAATGCATACACACATACTCATGCATA